AAATAAGGGAGATTATTTTCAACATTTATTTAAATCATTTAAATTTAATTAATTTAACCGTAGGAACTGAAAGATTGATTTGCCGATCTCTGTGTACCCATGATGCCACATTTATGTATATATTTCATCAAAATAAATAAGTATGTAACATATATGTATTATATGATAAGTATTTCACCACTATATATAAATATTATAAATAAACATTTGATAATTATTTTAACAATCATTAACATTGAGATTGCTATAGTCAGTCATATTTGATGTAAGAGTATTGCCATATATTTCAAAGTTGATTCAATCTAATACAATATTAAATTCATATTTATTGCCCCATTTAATCTATTAGCAATAAATTAGCTGATATATACTTTTTACAATTATATAACAATTATATATAACATTAGTTAAAGCAACCAATATATTTATTTCTAAATTAATTTTAATTTGCTTACTAATTTGCTATAAATTTCTTACATAAATATTCAATGAGATACGAGATAAAAATCGCGTGGGGAGTTACTGAAAATAATTTCGTGAGAATTGATTTTCATTAATAAAAAAAAATTTCAAATAAAAATTTAACGAAATTGTAAGCTAAAAGATACTGTAGAACAAACTTATGTAATGAAGTAGTAAAAAAAATTAAAATCATAAAAATCGCTAATTATTTTTTTAATATTTATATAGAATTTTTTTATTTTGTTGCATAAAAAAATAAGATATATTGTTTCAGAAATATTTTGAATAGATGAATATTTAATAGCTAGACTAGACTAGACTAGACTAGACTAGACTAGACAAAGTATGCACAGCCTATTCATAATAATAATGGCTGACTAGACTGGACTCACAATAGAGTAGAACACTATCTAATCTGAAAGCAGTCACTAGCCATACGGGACGGTGTGCAGATCTCAGATCAGTCATCGAATAATCAGCGAAGCTTGTAAGAAATACATAAATTAGTCAAAGAGAAGGAAGGGACTCTGTAGAGACCCCCTGCTAACAAACAATAAAAGTGCTCAGTTGCAATAACTCGAAAAAACCTCAACATAAGACTACGATTGAAGTAAATTATTTCTTCCAAATTTGGTAAATATGATTTTATTTCGGGAAGGTATGCAGATCAGAGGCCAATTATTGCGTAGTCTGATGAAATTATAAACAATAATCCAGTCAAGGCGTAGAGAAGGGTTTCGAAGATACCTCGCAGTTAATAGAAAGTAAAAGTGCTCAAGTGCACTGACTCACCTAGCTTCAACATAATAATGAATACTAAAAAACATTTCTTAAATAATGTAAGATACTACCTTATCTTTAATTAAAAAATTTGGTATATTTACTAGCTTAGAAGTTGGTTAAAAGAACACTTTTTAGTACTTACATATAAAAATTAATTTCAATAAGTGTATCTCAGATTGAATGGAATTTAATGGTATGTCGTGGAGAAGTGGATAGGTTAATAAATTTAATTGGATTAATTTAAATAATTAAATCGAAACTACGCTCATTAATATTATTTTATAAAAAAATGTATGTATGATATATTGTGTATATAAAAGCCATTTATAGGAAGGCATAATTTTAATCCCATAATTTTAATTATTATAATTGATGAGGTGATAGCTCGTTTTCACTTAAAAAAAAGACCAACTTACTACCAGTAGATTAATCGATTATTCACAAATTGAAAAATGTTTCATTATTGATGATATGCATGGAACTCATGACCACGCTGAGACTCTCAATTTCATCAATTTTCAAATCACTTTTCAATTACAATCAACATTTGATGACTGTACATATTTTTACACACAATCAATTATTATTTTTTATTATTGTTAATTGAAATGTTATCACATTTTTGCATTAAAATTGTATCTGTTGTAGACAATTTTATGACGTCATAGCGTAAAATAAAAAAATGTGTTTTTTTTTTAAAATTAAAAAAAAAATTATTTAAGTCTTCACAATATTTGGAATCAGTTTATTTCATCAACTATATATAATTAAATATAATAAGAATATTTAATTATATACTTATTTGCTTATTGTATATCAATAAATTAATCGTAAACATTTGCTATCGCTTTTAACTTTATGTATTAGAAAATACCTTTTGTTATTTGAAATAATTCATTGAACTTTGGAAAACAGAATGATTTAAAAAAAAGTTTCATCTATAATATACATATAATATACATATAATATACATATGTATTTTTGTGGTATAGAAAAGCTAGCAAAAAAAAAATATTAAAATTTTTGTGAAAAATTCCAAATTATCTTTTTTATCTTTTTTTTCTTTTTGCATAACAAAAAATTTATAATTTTAGTATTATTATTTTCATTTTCAGCATTTAACTTAATTTTGTTTTTAGAATTCTATTAAACATTAAATTAATCATTTTAGGTATATATATATTTTTTAAAGTTTAACCAAAGCAATATTTCGGAATAATAATGGAGCCCATGTGTGAATCGCACCTGTTTGATGACGAATTAAAACCAAAGGTATGACTATATAAAATCATATCTTCATGTAGTCTTGTGCAGCAATAACAGATTTTTTTAGAAAAGTAATTTCATAGAAGATTGAATAATAATAATCGAGTTTTACTTTAATGATTATTTCAGTGTAAACACACTTATTTTTGTATGCGAAAAGAGCGTTGATGATAAAGCATGGTCAGTTAAAAAAATCACTTGGTTATAAAATATCTTTCGGATTTGGATTGAATAGACAATTTGTCATAGAACATAAAGTACTTAATTAAAAATGTTTTATTTAAGTTTTCGACATCGCCGGATTCTAATAGTAACAGTAAAATCAGGATTCGATAATATCAAAAAGGATTATATAGTTAAATCACAAGCACTCTCCCTCACTTTGCTATAATTAGCAAAGCTGATATCATGACTGAGTTCTCTCATGCAATTAGAATGTCTTTAAATACACAGAACTGCTAAATACGAAATCTCCGATTTTGTATCCTGTCTTCTGAACAGCGAAGAGTATAAGAACAATGTTTTGTTCACACATTTCGGGTTGACAAAGAACAAATCTTAAAGATTTTTAAATATTCATATTTATTTATAATACTTATAATATATATGCATTGCGTGATGTATTTTATGTTATTTGATTAACGTAAAAAGTTTATATTATTAGGGTAATAAGTACAAAAATATTGAACATTAATGCAATAATATATAATATATTAATATATATGTAATGTAATATATATATGTTATATAGTTTGGCTTATGTCTTATAGCTTTTAAAAAATTCTTAAAGTTTTAAAACAAACGAAAATTGTTTATCGTTCATATATATATATATATAGATATAATATACATCGATATAAATTAATATATTGTAAGTACTTATACCACCATGGAATATCCATATCTGAATCTTATCAAACTTGGAGTTTGCGGCAGAAAAGATGGAAGATGTAACAACATCATCAGACCTCCAATTAAATAACGCAACCAAAAACCAAAAACCAAAATTATTTTTATAAGGAATAGAAACCGACTGATTTTCGTTGCTAAGTTTTAAGATTACTAATCATCTTAGCATAAATAACTACAACTTTCTATGTAGAAACCTTATTCAACTGATAAGAGTATGACTTCAATGTAAATATTTCTATTTCTATTTTCTATATAAAATAATATTCCCAAAGGCAGTGAATAACAGTGAACACACATATTATTTATAGAAACTTTGTATTGGAATATTAAAATTTTAGTAAATTATAGCATCTATCGATTGATTAAAGATCATTTATTTTATAATCCACGGCAGAGGCTGTTAAGTTAAATTATCTTTTCTAAAATTAATATATTATCTTTTCTAAAATTCCTTGCAAAAGTCAGCGTGTCCTAATAAAGTATGATATGATAATGGAGCCTTTGCCAGTGTTGGTTTCTTTGCTTTACTTAGCTTGTTAGTTATGGATTTGACTCTATAAGTAGAAGTCAAAGGAGTTCAACTTAATATGGTGTAGTAACTTTATTTATTATATTGTTATAACAATATAGTTTTATATTATGTATAAAATTTTTAAAGAAACTACAAGTTAAGTATGTTGAGCATACGATGAATTTGTTAAATGTTGTTCCTCACGCAACATCTCCAGTAGATTTGCTACTAAGAGCGGAAGAAACTCAAAGTGTTTGGGTTAAATTATTACAAGTTCAGCAATTAATGCTATTGTGTATATAGTGTGAGCTAAGAATAAGAGAATAATTCCTTTCTTAAGTGGACCACACACGCATGATTAACGAATGTTTATGCCACACTGGTTTCAATAATGAATCCAGAAACACTTGGTGTACTCTTCGAATGCAGACGGGGACTGTTGCTTGCATTTATTTATGTAACAATTCCGTTTATAATTTGTATTTTATTCCAAAACAAAACATTTTTAAAAATTCGATTAAAATCAGCAAGTCACTGTTGCGCTAAATACCATGACAGTCGTTAATCAAAAATACAAATACAAAATGTAGAAAATAGTATATCTCTGAATTAGAAATAAAAACACGTGAGCTGTCTTAACTTGCATGCATTACCATATAATATATATTTCAGAACACGAACATATAATAAATTATATATAAATATAATAAATTATAAAAAAAAATTAACTAAGTTTAATAAGATGATAAGTTTTTTGCAAACAATTTGAGAAATGCAAATAAGCGACAATGTTATTTTTTTTTTTTTTTTGCTTTAAATTTCAGAGAACATAATTAAAAGTTCAACAAATTTAAAACAAATATTTAAACATATACATATTATTTTTTTTTTAATATATTAAAACACTTGAAATTCTTTTTAAAAAGTAAAAAAAAAAAATTATGAAAAAATATTTTTAATGGTGCATAAATCCAAAATACTGGTTTTTGATATATTTGAGATACTTTTCGCACAAATGATGAAGTATCATAATAAAAATACAATATATCAAACCATTCAATATTACCTGTCTGTAGTCATTTTCACGTTTTTCGTATATTCTTTTTATTTTTGCTTGCACTGACAGATAAAAATTTATAACTCAGATATTTTGTTTAATTTCATAAGTTCAAGATACTTTTTATTATTTGTTGTGAGCTTCAAAAAAAGCACAATACTAAACTATTCTTCCGTATGATTTTTAACACACTTTTATTTGAAATATATTTTTTTTTTGATATATTTATATTATTCTTAAAAAATACTTTTTTTTATAAAAATATTTTTATTTTTTTAATTTAAACTAATAATTCGCACGATCAATAACAAAAACGCCACCACTGAATGTTGTCAAACGCGCACTGTTATAAAATCGACAACCGCTGCCGTATTTATTGCGACCACTTAACCGGCTTGATATTCGCTTTGGCTTCATTCATTTGCAAACATTTTATAGCAGAAATTTTTCCTCTCATGACTGTAACATTTGCGCTCTTTACTTAAGCCTGTGCGAACAATAAAAAATATCAAAACAAAAACAACGAATGCTATAAGATGTCGCAGTTCGCTCTTAAATTTTTAGAGCTTTTGCCCAAGTGTGCAAAATCCAAGTGGAGGTTCGCAACAATAATTTGCCGTAGTCAATCAACACAATCCACATTTTCTTGATGCCATATATTTTGTTATTATTAACAGAATATTAACAGAAATTCGTACAATTCTGTTAAAGCAAGTAAGATCAGAACATGCAGTTGGAATTGTTGATTTTATGGCGGCTCTGTTAGGCAAAGGAAATTGTTGTTAATTTTTTCTGCTTTAAGCAGATCACTTTTTATAAGAATTTATAAATGGAAGAAAAGAAAAGCATTTATTATTTTTGTAAATATTTATTATTTCTGTTTTTGGCGCGCCAATTCTCTCCCATTAAACAAATGAACTTTTCGTTCCTTTGTAAGTTCTTAAATATTCATAGATAGATCAGTGCTCTCAACTTGATCGATCCGCTTCACTTCACTCCGCCTGTCATTTTATCACTTTGCGTTGCACACCGGATCCCGATTCCACGAAGCGATGGATCATTCCTTGCTAAATTTAAGGATAGCTGTTGAAGACTTAAATAGTAAAGCTAGATATCCATCAGGATATATTTTTATCCATCCTAATTAATATTTATTTTCAATTTAATAGATACTGTAGAAGGAGTGAGAGTCATAACATATAAAAAGGGTTCCTAAATCCCGACTCAACGAAGCGATGGATCATTCTATGCTAAATTTAACGATAGCTGTTGAAGACTTAAATAGTCAAGCTAAATATTCATCAGAATGTTTTTTTATCAATTCTAATTAAATTTTTTTTTTAATTTCATGGACTCCGTAGAGGGAGTGAGAGTCATAACATATACAGACGGTTCGTAAATCTGTGCAATGCAAGATACTTTCTTTTCCAAATAACTACCGTGTTTACGTCCACGCATTTTCCAAATACATGAAGACATAACATAAAGATATAGCTTATTTCTATCATTCATTTGTTGTTCTGCAATTTCTAAATCCATTGATAATGTCATAATTTTCCCCACACATATCACTGCGTTTTACCGTCGGTAAAAATAATGTGTATATATTGCAATAGGGTGACGTTCTTTGTCATTTGTAGGTCAGTGAAAACTACTTAGATGCATTAAACCAAGTATGTCAAAATTCGGTGCTGGAGGCTCGAACCAACTGTCATTGCCATAATATAGCACATGCGTACTATATTTCCGAGGAAAGAATTTTCAAATAATATACTACGAAAGTTCTTATATATTATTTTTGTTTGAATTAGTTATAAAATTCTACATAAAACTCAAAAATTTCAGGACGATATTCTCCTTAAAAGTACTGTTAAAAAATTAATTTAACCTTCACATCACACCAAACATATATACACGATTTTTCAGTAAAAAAAGGAGAAATATGTCACACAAATTTTTCTTTTTTAACTTTCATTAGGATTAAACAAAAAATTCTATTTAATCAACAAATATTTCCAGTGCGGTATTATATTTAAAAATATTTAAAAAAGTTTATTTATTACTCATACGCACCATAATGATACGAGTATAAAATAAATTTTCCACAAAAAACGACCATTTCAGCCAAATCGGAGGTGAAGGGGTAATTTTTGGTCAAAATCGGTTCATATCTTTGGCAGTATCAAAATAGTCTTCACACTTCCTTTTGAAATCTGAAGCTGTTAGCCTTAACAGCCTTACTAAAGTGGGCTAGAGAGTATTTTGATGTTTTTTGGAATAACTGAAGAATAAAAGCATCTATTATGTTTATATCTATAAAACCTATAAATCTATCTATAAAATTTGAAATAAAAAATTTACCATAGATCTATCCGTTGTTGAATACATGTATTTTTTAAGACATTCTGGATTTGGTAAATTATGTACCGACTACATGCATAAATTCAATTCAATTATAGAATTTGTTGATTATAGGACATTTCCAATACATGTGTTGATTGTTTAAGTAAATAATGTAGATTTTTTTTGTTATAATGATATTCTTTGCAGTTCAATAAATTGTATTCTATTGAAATTAATTAACAAATTAGTTAATTATCTTCACTTTTTTAAGCTTTCACTAAAACTTTTTCAAGCAAGCGCAACTGTGCAAACGCTTTTTAGAACTTTTCTCTTAAAGCTCTATCTATATATAAAGCTCTATGTATATTGAAGTTATTTATAATAAATAAGCTTTCGTTAAGCTTTTTTATAAAATATTATTAAAAGAAATGCTGAAATTAAATTTCACTAAAGTATTGTTAACAGTTTAATAATTAAAACTTAAAATAATTTATATTTATCTCTGTATTTCTGTTTTATGTTTATTTATGTTTTTCAATTTTCATCAAAGAACAGTAATATTTTTTATTTTAGTGTAAAAACTATTATTAATTATTAATTTCATTCAATAAAGTAGTTAAGTTAGATGTTGCTATTGTCCTCATTACAAAATGAACTTACTTTCTCTTGTTAATATTTTATATTTATTCTTCTATTGTAATATTGTTTTAAATAGTTTGTGGTAAATATAAATTTGACATCTAAATATTATAGGTACTCTTTGAAAATGTGTTAGTGCCCTTCTTAAGCTAGAAGAAGATCAAAAATCTTCGGATCCCCTTTTTTCACCGACCTGACTGAGCTGTCATTCTATAATTTTACGGACCTGACCAAGTTTATAGAAATGTCAGGTTGGTTTTCCTTTACCTAATGGAGGACTCGTTACATTTTTCTGCATTGGCTGTATACTGATTTAAATCTATGTACGTACCAATGCTACTCCTGTGGTACCACAATGGGCCATTATTTGAGCTTAAATGGGCTATTTAGAAACAAGGCTGCCACTCCAACTTACCTAACAACCTAATCGCCATGAAATATAAAATATGTGTCATATATCGGAGTAAGTTCGATTTCCAAAAAACCAGTCTTATTAAATCATAGCAATACTAAAAACCTGTGCAAATTCATGAAAAGTGTTTTAAGTTACAGAAAATTAATTATTGAAGAATTTATATGAATAATTATTTTAATAATATGCACCACTTTTTATATGCCAGTCTGACACACAACAGATATGTTTTTTTCAATTTTGATTTTAAGTAAAATTCTATAATTTTTGTTAGTGCTGTACTAAATTCCTTGAATCAATAATAAATAATAATAAATAATAATATTTACAAAAAGGAAATGGATCATTTATTTAGATACATTCTACGAATTATGTTGTGACAGAATAGAAATAAGAATAAAAGTGTAATACACTTTGCACAGCATGAAGTCCTAGTAATTCAGTTTCAAATCATAGTTTAGGTAAAATCTTTTATCGTCGAAATTACATTCGCGAATTAAAAAATTAACTTTACAGTAAGCTTTCTACTAAAGCATAATAAAGCATACGAACGCACAGATATTACTGTTATACACATATACGTATGGGATTTCAATAAGAATAATAAGTTGGTTTCATAGGTGTATGTACTGCGCTAACAGTGCCATGCAGCGAAACTGGAGAAATAAAAGAACAAAATTCTACAAAAATATGTGTCGAAAAATTAATAATATATTTTTGGGCTTTGTGTTTCGTAAAATATTTATAATGTTTAAGAAAAAATATATTTTTTAAAATATCATAATTGATGGAAAAATATTATTACTGTATATGCAAAAATATGCAAGCCATGCTTTATATTTTAATTTTAATATTTTACATATAACAAAACAAAAATAAATTTCAACAAAAATTTTTATATCCTCATTGTCAAAACATTTACATATCTTTGTATCAACATTCGTTTATTTGTATTTTTTTAACAATTTTTTTAATAAATTGCATCTGCTTAATTAAATATATAAATAGCGGCGTCTTTTGTAGTAATAACTTGAAGCTGTTTTTTTTTCAACTGTATTCATTGAAAAGTAATGACGTTCAACTGTTTACAAAGTTCATTATCAATGTCCCAGTGGTTATATGTACATTTATTTTCATGGCTATTGCTATTTCCTCTACTTGCAGTCCGTCATTAATTTTACTCTCTTTTTTGGTATTTTTATAATATTTTTAGTATTGTCATGTAAAGCTTGTTTGGAGTTGCTTTTATTCATTTTAATGAATTTGACTCTCTTAACAGCTGCTCACCCTGCAAATAGCGCCCAAAAGTTGGCTGTTCTTACATACGAGTATGTACACAAATAAAGCTTTTCATTCATAACCTTGTAAAATGCGAATCGCGTGTATGCCAAGCAATCAATGTGTGGACTGTTACTACCATTAAATAATTGCATTCGCGGTGCTTATATAAAAATTAGCACTGTTAGCACCAAAATTAATTAATTTGTAAAAGATTTTCAAAAAAAATACTTTTTACAATTAAAAATAATTATAAATTTTTTATTTAAAAATTGTTTAATAAGAAAATTGTAACAATTCGGAAATATATAACTTGTTTTAATCGTTTTTTCGAGTTAACCGAAGCCCTCAGGGCAAGTGCACTTATTATCACAGTTCACACGATTCAAATGGGAATGATTCAACTGTTACCATATGTGTGG